GCGGATAGATGGGGCATAAAATGGACTTGGTTAACTTTTACTTAGGAGTAGAAGTAAATGAGATTTTACTTTTACCCAGTAAGAAAACGCTTATCGAATCTGCCGTGCCGTATGTGCTCATTGTAGCTGGAAGATCGACTCACTTCCGTGTAAGAAAAGAGGGATGGCGGTTGCAGATGAGATAACTCTGCAAGTTCATTGTCGACAGAGACGTTAAGAAAAGTCGACTACCCCTTGGAGTTTTTACCAATAGACTCGCAAACTACCTCAGGTTTACCTACACCCGATCCACCGAGCATGTCACTTTTTTTCGAATCCGTACATCGCGGCGCGACCGGGCCCGATAATTATTTCTCCTCCGCTCCGGCCGGGCGTGACTCAATAACATGTGATGTCGGGCAAAAAAGGAAGCTGACTTGTTACATTATGAAATTATTTCACGTGTAAAGAGACGTTTAACTAACCTAACCTAATAAATAAAAGCCGGTACGTAATTCTCTTCTGTCAGTCTCCGAGAAGCGATTAGAAAAATAAGAAAACAGACCACGTGCGCGAAAACAACCCGGAATGTCTCGAATACTCGTAATACCTACGAGTAGTCTAAAAAAACATCGTAGAATTATTTCCCCGAAACAAAACACAAAAAAACGTGGCGTGTGGTGCCACTGTCTGTCGATTCCCCGACAGCAGGGGTTGGTGTTCTGGCCTATTGACAAAGGCTAACCTAGAGTGGCTTAGTAACCCAAATCCCCGACGGAGGCGGCCGGTCGAGATTGAACATTACTTTTGAAGAGTGTTATGATCATGTCGAAATATTGTATTTTGATCAGGAGATTCTGGACGAAATATTCTCCTTTTCGTCGAAAATAGTAAGTATGGAACTTAGGCCGAGGAGCAATAGAGGGAAGGAAAAGGAAAGTAATGGGGAAATGGGGGATAAACGAAGAAGTATATTATAAGTGCGACCATGTCGTCTACCGATTGTTCGAGATGGCTTCACAACAGCATTACACAGCATATAATTTGAACCTACATAGGACCTCACAATTCAAGACAAGAACCAATTCGTCTTGTACGACTTCACTTCATTACCGGTGATCGACATTACCGTAGTCTGCATCCTATCCTTATTAGGAAAGCCACATATACCATCCTGCCTTACCAACCATCAAAAATGCAACCATCAAGACGCATGCACATCACCGCTCGGGTATCACCACCACCACCCGTATTCACCACATCATCAATAGCGTCTAAAAGGTAACAGCCTACCTACTTACACTCTTATTACTTAACAACTAACCCTCCCCCTCCCCCCTCACAGACTCCTTCTTCCAACTCTAGCCTGGCTAGGCGCAGCCAGCTTCGTAGGGATGTACATATCCCGACAATTACAGCGCGAATCAGGAGCTTTCGACCACATCTTTGCGCAGCAGAATACCCCAGAGGTGGAAGCTGCTCGGAGAAGACATTTGCAGGTGGAGACTTTTGGGGATCCGCGGAATAGCTTGTTGAATGTTTTGGGGTGGACGAAATAGGGGGGGGTTTTTTGACATTTGGGTTCTCTTATTTCTCTGCGCAGATATTTGTTATTGAAGCGCATGGTTAGGACTTGGGAGTTTGGGGATGTTTTGAGATAAGTGTTTAATGAGAAGGAGAAAGAAAAAAGGGGAGATTTGTTAGGAGTGGATAGATATCGTCTAAGGGATAAGACTTGGATTTGCATTCATCTCATTTTCCCTATTCGACGAAGCCAAACCAATACTATCATTCCTTAGTTTGGTTCCGAATCTTGTCCATAGACCTATTATACAATATATACTTTCTAGCCGGCCAAAGACAATTCCCTTCAAATCTTGCCTCCGTCAAGCTTGAACACGGCACTTCCATTCATGGGCCGACTAACAACGATGGCGCCCTCCATATCTTTATCGGCAATTTGTCTCTTAGCGTAGTACTTCTCTATCAACGCCGCCTTGATCTGGTCCACCTTATCAGCTGGTACAAGATGTACGCTGCACCCGCCCCAACCAGCCCCTGTCAACCGACTGCCGTAGCTACCAGCCTCGCGGGCGATCCGGCATATATCATCGATCTCGGGACAGCTGCATTCATAAACATCGCGGCACGAGTCTTGCGTCTCGTTCATCAGGTCTCCGAGACGCCGGCTAAAGGCGACGGTATTGTCGGAGGAAGGCGCCTGTGCCGGATCCTCGAGCAGAGACAAGAAGCGCAACACTCGCAGGGCCTCAGTGAATACGTGTAGTGCTCGCTGACGTAGCTTAAAATACTCGCCACGCACAGGAAAGCCGGACATGAAACGGGCCTTGACCTCGTCGACCGAGATACCGAGGCCCGAGGCGACTTCCTCGACGGTGTAGCCTTGTTCTTGAGTTAGTGTCTTCTTCGTCAGCTCGATGAGCTCCTCGAGCTGTTCGGGCATGGACTTTGTGGTCCCCTTGAAGTAATTATCGTGGAAACCACGGATTGACACGCCTAGCGGACCAGAATCCTTGGGGAGTTCGGTTCCTGCTGGGCAGAGCTTGGCATTCAGGTAGGCGGCCGCCATGCTGCATTCTACCACTCGGAGGTTAAAGTGGATGGGTCCGGTGACTTGTTTGTTGGACGTGACGAAGGATTGGACCACCATGAAGCACAGCTCGGGGTCAGTCTTGGGGAAGTACACGGGTCTCGCCGATAGAGTCGGGTGGAAGGAGACGAGCAGAGCCGATCCCCTCTCGGAGAAGACAGATGCAGACTGATCCAAGCTACATAAAACAATAGGTCGTCAGCAAATGCGACACAGAAAAGGGATGAACAGAGTGAACCACTTACCCTCCCGAGTTGACACCAACAGCGCGCTCACTGACGATAGCCACCTCTGTCAGGTCCTTCTTGTCGATATCCTTCTCGCCGTTGGCGACCATGACGGCGAGCGCACTGGTGCTTACAAAGGCAGCGCTCGAACTCAGACCACCGCCCGCAGGTACAGTGCCGTCCATCATCATCTTCATGCTACTGGGTTTAAAGTTGGCACCATGAGTTTTCCTCAGCAACTCCAAGGCGCCCCTGAGGCCCGATTTGAAGTAGTTGGTCCACTCATGCTTCATCGCATCGATCTCGACACCGGAAAAGGGGACGTCGAAGTCGCGCGTAGGGAAGCGCTCGTCGTCCACGTTTGCGATCTGGATCTTGTAGGTACCGTCGACGGAGGGTTCTACATCGGTCGATACGGCCATGATGACGTCAGGGGTAATGGCCATGGGTAGACACGAGTATAGAGAGTAGTCGATGTGCTCGCCGATGATGTTCACGCGACCTGGGGATCGCGCGACGAATTGCGCCGGGCTGCCATATCGCGCTTGGAACTTCTCCAGTAGCGCGTTCCATCGCGTGGTTTGCTCTCCGATGGCTTGTTCGGTGTAGATGTCCTGCAGAGCAGTCACGGTGGGCACGGGCCCGGACATTGTAGAATGCCTGTCTGGTCGAATTCAAGATTAACTGGTAGATAGGATGTATTCTTAGTAGTTCGCAACTCCCAATCGAGCTGGCTTCAACACGACAGAAAGGATGTACGAAGGCACCCCGCTTTCGTCAGTGCCTTGATACAATGCTTTTGTAGCGTCCGTTTTTCAACCGATCACCAGACGGACGAATAATTCAACACGAATGAGTTGAATAATTGATTTGAGTGAAACAATGTCGAGCAGAAAAGGGGATTGCTGCCTCCATTCTGGCGGGACAATTCGATTTCCTTTATCACGAGACAGATGCCCGGCGAAATTGAGGGGCATTTACACCGGTGTCGTACACTCAATGACCTAATTTACCGTGTTTACCCCCCCGTGGGTCGACGCGGATCCCGCGTCGCGGAGACCCTGACATGGAGACATTGGAGCTACTATTGTACATCGGCATACTGCCTTGGTCTATCAGTACCTCGACTGGCGACTGCAGATTCTTCTTGTACGAATGCAGTCACGTGGAAAAGTATTATTATACTGAGGGAGGGGGTGTGTCCTTCGGAATAGCCGCACCTCTCAGCTCATTACCTACCTATCAAACACTCATGGATTTACCCGATTCATCGATCGGAAAACCTTTACGTCGAGCGCGTTGGGGAAAAAGATATGCATACCTGCACCAAGGGACATCGTCACGAATGAGAAAGGAGCATCTAATTCGGCTTGCAAACAAGGAAGAAAAGGAAAGGTAGTTCCTTAGCACTAGCCGAATGGCCACGATCGGAGAAATTATAGTCGAATTCAGCTACCCCACTCTTTGCGCCCAAGCTTTCCACGTCTCGATCAGGCGGCCCCGCGGCCTTGGCAGCATGAATAGTCATATTCAATTCCTGCGATTCATCGATGATCCGAGATGGTATCAACGACGTGGTTACAGGCGGACATACCTACTCGTATATGGACAGTGGAAGAAAGACAATATTCGTGCCTTGAAGTCATATTACTGCGGTCGGGGCGTTTCGCAAACAAAAACTTCATGGCCTTCTCTGTCGGGTTAAGCCGATAAGACAGATCGACAGGATATTGTTCTCTTCAACAACGTCGACGAACTACGTTGTACAAGTTAATATGCACTTGGAAAACACGATATAGAATTATATAGAAGCAACTCGAATTATCATCATCTGCTGCCTTGCCCTGGCGTGCCTGGGTCCATAGATGCATACACAACCCTTTAAAACTCTTCAACCCCTTAATGATCAACAGGTAGGTCCAAGAGCCTGAAAGAAATTGACTTTTGGCCCACCTAACAGGCATGAAATTCATCATGACTATTAAGACAACACTTAGTCGATACCTTGAATGCATCATAAAAGCAGTGGATCTGTCTACTCCCATCGTTGGGGTTGTGAATAATAGCAACTGTTTATCTAGATCTTGTTCTCAGGAACAGACGATCTACCCAAGGTAGTCTAGGATTCGAAGTTTAACAGGGAGCGTTTGGTTTTATCTAAACATCAAACCTCCAATGACAAATCCGAATTGGTGTAGTGGCTAACATTTGACGCTCTCATAACCTCTTGGTACCATGTGCCGTCAAGCCCGGGGTTCGATTCCCCGATTCGGAGATACATTCTTTTTCTTTTTCTTTTCTTCTTTTTACATCCCACGTGCCCACCTTTACCTGTGTCTTTCATACTAGATATTGTATCTCATACTTAACAAACGTGTATCAATATCGTCTTCAAATTCTAACACCCCGGAATCCTGAAATAAATAAGCGCGTGTAAGCTGGTTTATATGCAAACTATTTTGCTGGAAAAGTAGTGGTAAGCAGGAGCTCCATTGTAAGTTTTCTTGCGATAGATGCAAGAGCCAGTAAGCTACTCAACATATATGATTTACAAACATAATTATAAAAAAACGCCAGCCTCAATGCAAACAACCCGCTTCACTTACACTTACACAGATGATTGAAGTATTACCTTTAGGTCTGCCCAAACATCTTAGAGTCATGTCTTCTTAGCGGTGACAAGTTACAACCGTAGTCGTATCCTACATCGTATCCTGCAACCTCAAGAACTCGGCCGAAAGCTCCTCATCGAGCCATGCATCCATATCTTCCTCTCCTTCCATTTCCAATTCCTCCGTTTCCATCTCATCGAGCAATCGGTCTCTTTCCTCAAACACCTCTTGTATCCACCTCATCTCACCATTTGCCTGTCGCGCAAGTCTGTCCTCTTCCTCCCGTGATTCTTCTTCTAGACGCCGCTTTTCCTCATTATCAAGTTCGGCTCGGATATCAAGCTCCTCGTGCATGCGGTACCGATACCTTTCGAGTTGGTCGTCGGAATATTTTTTCCACATCATGAAAGCTTGGTCCATTTCTTCTTCGAGAAGGCGCATTGCTTTGGTCATGTTGTTTTCGCCGTCGGGTCTTTTACCCCAGTATGAGCGCAGTTTGTCGGCGTACTGGTCCTTTATGAGCTGCTCCTGTGCAACACGCGCGAGGTATTCCGACTTGACAAGCTTTTCGCGTCTGGCCATCTTGTCCCTTGCTGTAGAAACCAGTCTCTCACGCTCCGTTTGCAGAATTTCTACCAATGTCTTCATACCAATGTCTACCCGCTCTTTCCTCTCCTCCTCTTTCCCTTTATGCATTTCTCGCACTGCTTTCTCCTGCCTCTCATTCACAGCTTTAAGTCTTTCTCTCAACCCCTCAAACTTAACAACCACACTCTCCCTCCTTTTCTCCTCCCTCCTAACCCTCTCCTCTAACAACTTCATCCTCCTCTCCTCTTCTTTTCTTTCTTCTTCTGCTTTCAACATCTCTTTCTTCAACTCCTCCTCCCTCGCAAACTCCTCCACAAGCCTAACAGCCTCTTCCTCCTCCCATCTAAACCGCCTCCTCCTCTCCGCATCCCGCTTATGCGCCGCCAAATGATCCATCGTGCAAGAACAAGTGCGCCAACGCCCACCACAAACATAGCAGAATTGCGTCCCACATATACACGTCATATGCTGACACTCGTCGAGATGTTCGACAAAGGACCGACATCCGGGACATCGCGTCCAGCCTTCTTCCTCTGCTAATTTCGTCGTCACAGCCGCATCCACGTCCCGCGGACAGGTTTCCACGTCGCTGTGTGGTGGCCCGCGACAGGTTATACATGTTCCATGACCGGCCGCGCATCGCGCGGTGTTTTCTGCTCGGGATATTGCGGAAGGTGGAATGTTGAGGCTGCAGTTGGGTTGGTGGCAGTATATCCTTTCCGATACTGGTACACCCCATTCTGTAGCGCGTGCAAGGTATTGCGTTGCGAGCTCGGGGGGGATATTAGTTGTTATAGTGTGTGAGGGGATGGTGTTGAGACAGCATTTCGGCGGCCAGTGTTGTTCGTTGCGACAGGCAGACTCGACGAGGCGGTGGAAACACGGTTTGCAGTAGTGGTGGCAGGGCGCTTTTATTGTGTCTTCGGGGTTGAAATCGTCTAGACAGGAGACGCATTCCCTATGTACATATTAGGTATAGGTAAGTAGGTATATTTTAGTCGTAGATGAACAGAGGGGAGAAAGGATTCTTACACCTCGAGCAGGGGAGGTTCCCCTCCACTAGAAGAATCCTTGATAAGGTCCAGGAAAAACCGCTTTCTCGCAGACCATGTCGCGATTTCCGATTGGGTCGATGATAATATCCTCTGTCGAGAAGCTCCGGCAGCGCTCGACTCTCCAGTGCTGTTTGAGTTTCTGAAAAGACCTTTTAAAGTCCATTTTGTAGGCTTCTTGACTGTCTTTGGATTTGAACTCGGACTCGGACTCGGACTCGGACTCGATATCTCGGAGACTGTTTCGAGTTGTTTGCCCTTCTCATTCCTCCATTCTTTTTCTTCTCCGGCCGGTTCCTGTTTATATTCCTGTTCTTGCTCTGGCTCCGGTTCCGGTTCCGGGTCTGTGTCTCGTAATATCCTTGCTTTCACATTCTCAATCGACCGGTGAATAACCCGTACCAGCTCCTCCTCCTCCTCCTCCTCCTCCTCTTCTTCTTCACAAGTATCCTCCAAAGCCTCAGGAGGATCATATCTCGTCCAGTCGACAATCCCCTCTTTCCCCTTCCCCTTCTCCTCGCTATCAGATATTCTCGAAACTTCCGTCCACGTAATCATCATGGACCTCCGCTTAACGAAAAGATGTAAAAAAAAAAAAAAAAAAAAACCCAGACGCAATGTAGTAGGTATATATATTTTGTCGAAATATCATAACACAACTAACTACCTTTTACCATTCTTAGTAAAGTAGGTATTATAACATGGCACGCTTGTTTGCTTGTTTGCTTGCTTGCTTGTTTGACTTTCTTCATAGCTCTCTTATATTTTAGCAAAAGAAACATCACCAACCAACCAACCAACAAACAAACAAACAAACAACCGGCTGCTGGTGCCTACCTACGGTATATATATATATATATATCGACCTACCTACCTACTGAAAAGGTGCCCTACCTAACCTACCCCGAAAAATCAGCCTTAGACACCGACGACCATATTGGGAATTTTTTGGTCGCGCGGGGTTTTTTTTTTTTTTTTTTTTAGCTTCAGAGGCTGAGCTGGAGTTGGAGTTGTGGCAAGCTAAAAATGTCCAAGGAAAAAAGGAGGCAGTGCTCTTTGCCACCACATCTAACCTGACCTACCTACGTACGAGTAGGGAGCTGGATGATGACTACCTACCTTAGGTTATGTAGTAAATAGTATATGTATGATATAATATTTTACAACACCACGTACATACATTTTTAAAAGGTGTTCTTTACGTAAATAAATAAATCTTTAGGTAGCTCGTAACGCTCGTTTGCTCGTTTGCTTGCTTGCTTACTTGGTTACAAGTACTCGTAAGATGCAAGTAAGACGGGGAAGAAAACGGCCTTGCAGCTTGGCGGGGGCTCTTGCTCTTACCCATGTGCAGTTGGGCACCCCTCTACATCAGACATCATCAGGTACATGGTTTTTTATATAATATATACTGTTGTTCTTTATAAAATGGTGATAATATATATATATATATATATATATAGCCATCTAGTCGTAGAAAATTGAAGTATTCGCCAAGGCCCCGACCTAACCTAGGCTAAATGGGATCAGATGCAAAACCACTTTACTTTTCCATCGTTTATATACTGTCGGGGATGAAAATCGCTCCTTAAAATACCCACACGCCTTGTCCAACAACTACTATATGGCTGGTAAAAACACGAAACATTGATGTGATATCCCAAGATTGGTGGCCCATGAAGTAACCAGCAGCCAATATAAGCAAAAAATGCGACGTCGGCAATCTGCCCACGAACGACGCGACCTAGTGCGGCTATAAACATGGACATGTAAAAACCCACGATTGCGCGCTATCAAAAGGAAGAAAAAAAAGTACATCGGTGAAACCGCAAATATACACGCAACTCATCCCTCTCGGACGCTGACTATACTTCAATACGGGCGACGACTCCTATCCCAATATAAATCGCCTCAACTTCTCACCTGCCATTAGATTTTCCCTTCCCTTTCCCCTTGGCTTTAGGGTTGACCACCTTGGCGGCGGCGGCCTGATTCGTAGAATAAAAAGTGTTGTCGTCGTTAGTGAACAGTTGTTCGTCACCCTTTCCTCCCATTTGTACAAACTCTTCTGGCGCTCGGTTGTCGTCGGGTCGTGGTTGTGCCGTCGGGTTCTTCGCGTATATTTCAAGCGGCTGCTTCGAATCCGGCCCTAGGGGCACCTCGCGGTCCAAGTGGATAGAGTTGATGGAACTCAAGAGCGTCCTTTCACGGACTACTCCTCGTCGCTCCATGCCAAGTCCACCGATGCCACTCACGAGGCCGTCGGTACTGTCCGCTACGGCGGGCATTTTCTGGCTGATCCAGGGATGTTCCAGGCATTGGTCGACAGTGTAGCGCCTCTCGGGCGAGACGACCAGCATGTGATCGATCAAGTCGACTGGGATGGGTTAGTGTTCGATACTGATGACGTTTGAAAGTATAAAGGGGAACTTACGCGCTGGGTCTCCAACTGAATCCCAATATGGAGACGGGTAGTCGAAACGTCCGCTTTTGATTTGCTGCGACAGCGAGTAGGGGAACTCGCGTGTATGTAGTTCCTCTGAGAAAGGCGGGAAGCCGCAAAGGCAGATGTACAGGACAACGCCAAGCGACCAGATGTCGACAGCTTTGGTATACTTTCTGTTCCTTCCTTCGGCTAGGATCTCGGGCGCAACATAGCTCGGCGTGCCACATAGTGTCGTGGTGAATGACTCCTCGCCGATGATCTTGGCGAGGCCGAAATCTGCAAGCTTGACATGAATCTCTTTATCAACAATAAGAATGTTCTCAGGCTTGATATCGCGATGTACGATGTTGCGGTCGTGCTTTGGCGCTGTCAGTCTGGCCCTGGATCGCAAGCGGGGAGGAGCACAGCATAAGATATACGTACCAGATACTTGACACCTTGAAATAACTGCACAAACAGTTTTCTTGTCTCATCCTCGGTGAGCTTCTGCTTCAGGACGATATGGTTGAACAGCTCGCCCCCAGGTGCTAATTCCAACACCAGATAGACGGCATTCTTCTCGTTGAAAGTGTCTTTG